ATTAAATGTCTGCATTCAAATAGGCTTGCTTGAATTTTAAAGTAATTTATTTCCATTCCTTTGAAAATTCACTTGATTACTAGAGTGTTTACAACTTGTTTACTTTTTTACAACTTGTTACTACGTATTTTTATACGTATTTATTTACTACATATTTAAATACTACGTATTTTTTCCAACTAAATGTGGTTCCTGATATCTCAGCTGATGCTAACTATTAAGCCTGTTAAAATCAGCAGTCCCAAACCTTTGCGGTTTGGCAGCCTGGCTGGAAGACTGAGAAGGGAACTGAAGTGTGCAAGCAATGGGCCTGGGCACATGCATACACAACTCCACTCATGTGAGCGGTGGGTCACCACACATGCAGGCGTGCCAGTCCACTTCTCATGTGCCCCAGTTCTGAATAGGCCCCCACCCGGTAGTGAGCCATGGCCCAGAGTTTGGGGACCCCTGTATTAAGTCATGATACTGTTGATTTGAAACTGGGGGTTTCCTTTGTAACCACACATGGTGGAATGTGAATGCACATTAGTGCATTCAGAGGGAATGCACTAATCACTCCTTTATATTTATGAACATCTAGAGGCAGATCTTTACTGAGGATTATTGAAGCTCTTATGGGTTTTTTCCCCATCTTTCTTTTTTCTTTTTAATACTGAGCAGAAGCGCTACTTTGCTACTAATTTGCTTGAACCACTTGGATTGTGCTGGAGGCTGCAAATGGTATCATAAGCGTCTGATGAGAGGCAAGGAAACAAATGAAGCAAAGTATATTGCACCAACTCAATACAAGCTCTTCCCCAAACATAATTAAGTGATACTAATCAAGTAAAGTACAAAAGAGCTTGCACTGTGATTTTATGACTCACATTTTACCATTTTGGCATCATCATTCAAAGCTAGGCAACCTTGTTGTGTCATCATTTCAGAGATATTTCTTTACTTAAGCAGAGAAACAGAATGACCAAAAGGGGGGGGGGGAAGCAATGAAAATAGGACTTCAACTTCCTGCTGACTTTCCCATTGAATTTTTTTCTAGGAATCTGGCAGGAAGCATTGGAAATTTACCTCTCTTCCTCCTCCCTATCCTTCCTTTCTCTTTCTTCCCCCTCCCTTCCCAGCTGGCAGATAAATAACTGTCGCTGAGCAGGAAAGGGAGCAAAGGATTGTGAGACTGCCTGGGAAACTGTCATGGAATCACTGAAAATGAAAATCACATGACCATAGTCTCAGCCTAGCTGAAGCAAATAGCACTGAGCAATCATATGACCTTTTTCACATTTCGAATCTCCACAGTCACATGATCAAAATTTGGATGCTTTGCAACTGACTCATATTTATGACAGTTGCAGTGTTCTGAGACTACATGATCCCCTTTTATGACCTTCTGACAAGCAAAGTCAATGAAGAAGCCAGATTCACTTAACAACTATATTATTAACAACTGCAGTGATTCAGTTAACTGTGGCAAGAAAGGTCATAAAGTGGGGCAAAATTCACTTAACAACTGTCTCACTTAGCAATAATTTTGGGTTTAATTGTGGTCGTAAGTCGAGAACTACTTGTACTGAAATGTTTATTACTGTATATTTTCATTAAAAGAGCCTTTTTTGCTCTTTCTGCTTTTTACGATAGCAAGCATAAATAGGACAACGAATAAAAATGATTGCCTTTACAAAATAAATTACACAAATGTTCAAAACAACTAGAACAGAAGTTTGGGGACCCCTGGAGAACTAATCAGACATATAATGGTCTTCTTATCTGAAGGAAATCTGGTTTTAAAATCCAAGGGAAATTTTCTATTGTAACTTGTTCTCCCATTTTCCTTTGGCTTTTACAAATTTCTTGCCAATTTCTTTGTCCCTGTACCAGATAGCATTGTGGCATGGTCTTTTTAATTCTTTTAATCCTTTTTCTGATTTCTTTTTCTGTTTTCTCAGACTCATAGTGGTTTGTTTGCCTCCAGCTGCCATCCTGACTCCCTTTTGGGGTATTCTCAAGTTGATCTGAATTTTTAATAATTTGCTTCTTTTCCTGCTTTTTTGCTCTTTTCTACCTTTCCCCTCTTCTTACGTTCTAATATTACCAACATATCTAACAAATTTCTGCTAACAAATTTGTGCTTTAAGGATTGTCCTAAACTATTATATGATTTCTTTATCCCTGTAAGTTCTAACATTTCTCCGATTCACATTACTGTACTGTCAAATGTTTCCTCTTTAAAAACACAGAAACATAGAAAACTGATGGCAAAAAAGTCCATTCAGTCTCTCCTTTGAGTGTTCAGTTTGTTTTTTTTCTTTTTAATTATTTATTATATTGTTATTGTTCTTATTATTATGGTTTGTCGCACACTCAGGAAATGTTTCAGGCTGGATTTGGCCTTTTTGTCTGCCTCTTGAGCCCTTCCCAAAGATCTAGGATAGGTAGATGTGGATGTGTTAGAGCGTTAGAGGTATTGTCACAGGATGTAAGCTATTAGAATAGAATATAGAATAGAATATACTTTATTGGCCAAATGTGATTGAATACACAAGGAAGTTGAGTCTGGTGCATAAACTCTCAGTGTACATACAAACAACAAAATAATATATTCATAAGATACTAATAGAAGAAGGTAGCAGAAAAGATGAGAAGCATAATATTACATATTATTACATATTACAGCCCTATTACATGTGTAAATACCCTTAGGCATAAGACAGTGCTGTGGTGATTAAGTGTTCAGGAGAGTGATGTGATGAGGGGGGGAAATGTCCCTGTGCCTAGTTGTTTCAGCATGCCATGCCCTATAACAGTGTTAGATAGAGAAACCAGTTATTTAATAAGATGTAACACATTACATGCCTAGTGAAGCCAATGAGCCCATTAGGGTGTAACTATGAGTCACGAGACAGAACTTCAAAAATAATGGGATGTTGTTTGTGTCTAAGAATTACTTTCTTTTTCTTCCCTAAAACTCGTCTTGCCCCCAAATAACATTACCTAGCTTACCTGTTCTTTTTGGCCTTCTGAATGTTCTATGGATTTTTGTTGTAGGGTAGTTGTCTAATTTGGCACAATGTAGCTGTCTTTTTTTCCCATTCTGGAAAGATGTATTAGAGGCTTTAACTTGTCACCACAAAATCTACTACAATTCCCTCCTTTGAAGTTTGACATATTTTATTATTTTAAGTTTCATTGTCCCTCAAAGATGTTCATGTTACGCAAGGTGTTAATTGCAGGTCCAATCATTATGCTACTTAATCTGACCAATGATTCAACTTAAACTCCAATGCATAAAATGACAGATTGCACCATCAGCAAAGCTGTAGTAGCCACTAGAGGCTGAACCAGGACATAAGCAACAATTCCAAATATAGTTAGCAAACCAATTTTCAAACACTGCTTAACCATGTGAATATGGAAGAAAACCAGATATTTGAAGCTCTATCTATTACTGCGTCAAAAGCATGTGCCAGTTCATATGACTCTGAACATAGGTATGGATCTTGGAGAATGCCTAGATTTGGTAGACCAACCCAAAGAGGCCAAACTGGATGACAGTGCCCAATAAACTGTGAAACGTTTTATCAGGAAAAGGAAAAGTGTGTGGCACATTAAAACATTGTGGAATTGAAAGTTACTATGCAAAAACATGAACTTTATGAACTCTTTATCATTCTCAGATGCCTAACTGGAAGAAATAAGTCAACATAGAATAATATACGTATATATAAGTTGAACATGTCTAAACTATGTTTCTAAAGTGTATTTTGCCATAAATATATTCTATATAGCATTTCAGTTTACTATATTGTCAGTATCATAGTACTCATTTTTCTTTCTATCTTCAGATGATCTAGAAAAGAATTTAATAAATATCTTAAAAAATTAATAATACTGCATCTTTAAGTAATTGAGCTATTTACTGTTAGGTTTCAGGGTGATTTTTTTTAACTTGTTTCAACTTCCCCCCCCTCCCCTTCCCCTTTCATTAAAAGAAATATGCAGCAGTAAAATCTCAACAGCTATTTAACAATATATGCAAATGTTCTAAATAGCTTTGAAGCAGACAAGAAGAAAGAGTAGTTCTCCAAATAAGCTTGGATGCATACAAAGTCTTTTCCATAATGAATGTGGCCAGATTTTAACAAAGGCCATGCATAATAAAAATGTAAATGAGTTTGCTTTACTAAAAGTATAACTTTAAAGTCTTTTGTTGTAATGCTGTTCTGAAACTTTCCTACGAGGTTATCACTGCTTGCATGGAGATTTACCCAAAACTTTCAATGGCATTTTAAAAAAAGAAACTCAAAACCCAATAGCCTATGTGTGATGTGCATGCAAAACTGCTCTAAAGCTGAGAATATGAATTGGCTATGGGTGGCTTCAGCACGAAGCAAAAAGCCAACTATATTGCCGTAAGACTGCCTGACGGACTTCATGTGGCTCCCAGCCTAGAAATTTCTCCAATTTTGACATGTGATGTACTCGTCACTGCAATGGCAGCCCTGTCACTGAGAAATGGCACAAAAGACAACAAGGCACCCCCTCCCTCTCCTTAGCCCTGCACATTGCAGCCCCCTGGAGCTGTCTGCCCATGGTTTCCCTGGCCTGCCTAGTTACAGACAGCCCTTCTAAAATGAGAGATAAGGGTGGGTGGACTGGATAGGCCCCAGCTGCCTTTGGGATGCAGCTTCCACAATAAATTGGCCTGAATGATGAGGGCAAACAAACAGTATGATATGTATTATGCCTGTCAATAATACATCCCCACATGTTTCCATCTTTGTATGAGCGGGACCAAAGCTTTTCTTCGGCAAGTTCTATTTCGTCTCCTAGATTTTCCTTCCATTCATATTATAACTTACATGACAGGATTCAGAAATTTTTTATGATAGCGGCATTGTATAACCATTGTGTGTCCGTCCCCCACTCATCCCAGCATCAGATTTACATTTTGTTGTCCTTTTATGCCTCTTGCTTTAGAAATAGATGGCTTCTTAATCTTTCAGCTTCAACGTGAAGGGTACGTTGATGTGGAGTGGCATCGGCAACAGATGCGAGAGTTGAGAGAGCAAATAGGTAGCCTGATTGAAAAAAACTCACAGCTTCAAGAAATTGTGAAACTGGGAGCGAGAGAACAGACTTACTTAGGTAAATTTTACTTGTAAATCAAATAAAGCATATGCGGAGAAAGATAAGTAGTAAGAAAACTAAATGGCAGATTAGTGTCTAACCAGCAATTGTTCATTTCTTTCCAATTTGCTCTGTAATTTGAGTTGGTCTTGAACTTTGATATGCTTAGTGGAATTAATTTATATTAAATATATGCTTATTTTCTGGTTTTTATTCTGGTAAAAAGAAGGTATTTTATCTATGAATGTCAAAATGTTGACTATTAATAGATTAATAATTATTTTTACTTCTAATAAGACAACAGTATCCACTCCTACTAAATAATAAATGAAGAAATTTAGGAAAATGTCTATTACATATCACAGTAGGTTTTCTTTTCCTTGCTGCACATTGGAAAGTGGAAAATTAGAAATTTGCAATCATAAATTATTTCTACGTCCTAGAAATTAAGAGTTTTAGAGCAATTAAGTTCATATCCAAACCAGATTTCAAGACATACAAATAATAACAAAGAGCAATGATGCACATGTAGCAAAAACAAAATACAAAAATATACTGTTGGATGAGAATATAAATTAGTAGAAAGCCAACATTTTTGCAGTTTTATCATCTCTGATGACTTGCCCATATCTCTGGCAATATTTAGAACTACCTGCTAAAGCATTTTGTATCAGCTGTGACTAGCAGCACGAATGAATATTAATGAAAAGCAAAGGGTGCTCAGACACACTTGGCTCTTGAACTTATTTCTTAATCTCCCTCTCTCTGACCAGCCAGCTAAACAGCAGGAAGAATTCTGTGAAGGTCAAGGGCAGTTGTGAAGGTCACCAGTCTGCTCCTGCCTTCATCTACCGTGCACCCGGCTGACCTGCAGTGCACAATATGAATCTATTCAAATAGCCATGTAATTTCATGGTGTGCTTTATCCCTGCCTTACCCTTATTTCTTTCAGAGGGCGAACTAAAACTTTTGCAGAACAAAATGGAAAAAGAAGTGAAGTTAACGGAAAAGGTACTGTATCCTTTACTTATTTATGTCTATAATTAATTGATTAACTTGTACAATAGATGCAGGAGTCTAGGAATTCACAATATTTTAAAAATGATTCCTACTATTCTATTGTTCTGAGCTTGTTAACTTTTATACATTGTTTTCAAAATATAGAATTTCTGTGGAAAACTTGCATCCTGAAGTTAATCCGGATTAGATGCAGGATGGAAAAGCAAAATGAAATACCATATAATATAAATGGAAAGTAATATGATGTTCCTGATTTGCCAAGTTTGGTGCTATTCCATATACTAGGAATTTCATATGGTTGAAATTTTGGAAACAGAATGGAATCATTGATAAAAATAACAATAATAATTTATTATTTATAATTATAAATATGATGTATATACTAGGAGGGTTTCACAATTCTTGATATATGATGTGGTACCAGTCCATGGCCCATTGAGAACTGGGCTGCCCAAGTGGTACATGAGTGCAGGAACCTCCATTTGCACAAGCAACAGATGGCAAAACCATCCCTTCCCTGCTACTGCCAATCTGCAGAACTGGAAAGGTTGGGGATTGCTGCATTAGAGGAATTTTCTAAGTAGTCAAGAGTAGAGAAGTTAGTAAATAAAATTAAACATACACCTTTTTAAAATTTCCAGGTTGTTAATGGGTGAAAGGATATAAAGGACTTTTCTTTGTTGCTTTAGATCAAATATGTCCAAACCAGGGCCTATGGGCCACATGTGGCCCTGGACAGTTAGTAGTGCAGCCCCACAAGATCATAAACTTTAATATTATTATGAGATGATATATACATTAACTATACATTATATACATTAACTATTTTATATATAGCCCAAGACAATTCCTCTTCATTCAATGCAATCCAGGCAAGTCAAAAGGCTGGACCCCCATGCTTTTCACCTTGGACATTGTGGTATTTCTGAAAGTGGGATTGAATTAAATGGCAGGAAAATGTTTTGATGATAGAAAAGGGAGGAAAGTCATCCCTGTTGGATTTGTGGAATCTAACAATCATTCTGTTGAGGGAGGCTTTGATTAAACCCTTAATGTTTATTTTGGTAATTTCACTGCTGAACGAATAAAAAAATCAGAGATATTTTAAGCCTCATCTTTCAAACCAGTACTTAAGAAGAATTCAGGTTTAGAATTATATATGAGGACAAGGAAGGGAAATGAATAAGGAAATTGATATTTACTGTATTTTTCGGAGTATACAGTAAGACACACCTTTTTTCTTCAAAAAAGAGGCTGAAAATCAGGGTGTGTCTTATATATCGAATACAGCATTTTTGGCCTCCCGAAGCCCCACCTCCTTCACAAAAATGGCCGTAATACCCTAATGGGAGCTTTCAGAGAGCTGGGGGCTGGGAAGGGCATAAATTAACAAATAACGGGCCGTTTTTTCCCCCAGCCCCCAGCAGCACTCTATAAGCCTCCATACGACTATGCATGCAATTTTTTTGACAAAAAACGGGCTCTTTTTTGCGAAAACAGACTGTTTTTGGCTCATTTTTGGCCCCTTCACACACACACCAGGATCACTCTGCAAGCTCCCCCAAGGCTATTCATGTCCTTTTTTGTTTTTTTTGGGGGGGGATGGGCCCATTTTTGGGAGGTTTGCCGATTGCAAAAACTTTTTTTTTCCTTTTGGAAAGCTCTTTAACTGATTGATGAGAATTACATTGATCAAGTGCTGTGCCAGCAGAAAGGAAGTCTTAGGTGCTGCAGATTGTCAGCGATTTCCTTCTCCAGCACATGGATAAATACACCTGAAAACATCTCCCTATCTCTCTCTCTCTTTTTCTCTCTCTCTATCCCTCTGTCTACCTACTTTTTTTTTAATTTGCCTCTTCAAAACCTTGGTGCATCTTATACTCCAGTGTGTCTTATACTCCAAAAAATAAGGTATGTTCATGTCTGAGGTAAGAATTTGTTCACATTAATGTTTTCTTGAACCTTGGTTGCCTGTAAATGCCCTAGAGAGAAATGTGTCTGTTTGTTAAAAAAAAAAGGGGGGGGAGCTCTATTACAACTAAAATGTGGCTTCTCCCAAAATGTTCAGAAAGAGAGATTGTGTCATTCAGATTGTTATCATTCAGATCAATTTATATGTAATATAGAGCTGGATAAATTCAAACAGCCAAAACGCTTATAAGATTTAACAATAGCAATTTCCATTGGAACTAAGTAATCTGAGGCAGTAGAGCAGGGGTGTCAAACTTGCAGTGTCACGGTGGTGTCATGTAACATATCAGGACATTTTCCCCCTTCATTAAAGCAGGCATGGCTATGGCCAGTGTGTGATGCATCTGGCCCATGGGCTGCAAGTTTGACCTGCAGTAGAGAATCACTTTTATCTGGTAATGATGGGCTAGTTCTGACTAATAGCAAGTACTGTTCTACTCCATGCCAATACTTCTGAACTAAAGAGCTGGGGAATTTAAAAAGTTAATAGTCCAAGTTTCCTTTAATTGTTAAATTTAATATAATTTTTCAATGCACATATTTCCAGACAACTTCCAAACGATCTACTGTGTTTTCCCCAAAGTAGGACATGTCCTGATAATAAGCCCTATCTGGCTTTTCAGGACCTGTGCTAAAATAAGCCCCTCCAAACTACTTAAACACATGTGCCTGCCATTTCCACTTATTGCTTTACACGCAAAAACTGAAATGAGGCAAGACTGGAGGGGAGAAGGGGGGACATGCCCCATGCACCCCACATGCCCTTACCGTACCTGCTGGTACAGCTGATGGCCGGGCAAAAAGAGTCCCCGTTGCAAAAACAGAGAGAGCCCAGCAACGCGCCTCACACCCCATTCCTTTCCTGGCAAAAAGGGCCTGCTGCAAAAAGAGTGGCTGGCCAGCAACGTGGCACATGCCGTATTCCCTCCCTGGCAAAGGAATAAGCCCTGTGTCCCATTTCTTCCCGAGCAAAGCAACGCACCTCACACCCCATTCCTTCCCTGGCAAAAAGAGCCCACCGCAAGAAGAGCAGCAGGTCACCAAAGCGCCTCGCTCCCCCTTCCTTCCCTGGCAAAGCAATGCACCTCATGCCCCATTCCTTCCCATGCACAAAGGGCCCATTGCAAAAAGAGCGGCAGGCTAGCAATGTGCCTCCTGCCTTGTTCCTTCCCTTGCAAAACAACGCGCCTCATGCCCTATTCTTTTCCATGCAAAAAGAGCCCGCCGCAAGAAGAGCAGCAGGCCAGCATGTGTTCCATTCCTTCCCATGCAAAAAGAACACATCCCACCCTGCCCCAATGGCAACAGCATCCTGGCTGCTTCTCTTCCCCACCATCTCTTTAGCGAGATGGGTGACAGGTGGGATGGACAAGAAGCAAGGTATGCATCCTAGCAGTTCCTGAGACTTGCAGCTCTGTCGCATTCCTCGCCGTTTTGTCCAGGGAAGCACCTTGTAAAAAAAAAACTCAGGCACGGTGGGAGGTGTTGAGACGCGCTTCTTACCAGACCCTGTCGGTTCCATCGCATCTCTAGGTCAGTCTGTGCAGGGAAACACCTTGCACGGTAAAGAAAAACTTCTCACGAGTTCAAGAAGTTAATTGCTTGCACTTGCAAAAAGTTTTTCTTTACTGTGCAAGATGTTTCCCTGCATAGACTGGCCAAGAGACGCGATTGAGCTGCCAGTGTCCAATGAGACTCACAGCCTGGCCTACCTCATCCCCCATCCCACCTGCTATCCCCAAATTGTTTCTCACTGCGAGACGTGCCTCTTACCGGAGACTGGCAGCTCCATCACATTCCTTGCTGTTTTGTCCAGGGAAGCACCTTATATAAAAAAAAACCTCACAAGTTCAATCAAACTTCATCGCATTCCTCACCATTGTGTCCAGGAAAGCACCTTGTAAAAACTTCTCCTTGGACGTTTAAAAAGTTTGATTGAAGGGGGGGGGGCGTTTCTTGAAGCCGCAACGACACGACAAGCAATCCTGGGGCTCCAGGATTGCTGTTGATATCTCTGTTCCTAAACTGTTCTGAAGGAACAGTGATAGAAAAGAGCATGTCCTGCTGATCTCAGGGGCATCGCAAAGCCCCTGATTGATCCAGGAGAAAGCTTTTTTTGCCAGCTACAAGATAAGCAGCCAAAATGGCTGCAGAAGGTTGGGACAAGCCTCTGAAACAGAAGCAGTACAGGAGTTGTGTCGAAATGGTGAGAAAAAAAAATATTATTAAAGAATGGAAAACCCAAAGAATTGGAATTTAAAATAAAATTGAAGACAGAAGAAAATAAATGGCGAATTAACCGTGGTTTAAGACTATCGTGTTATCTTTTCTACCTTAAGGTTGTTTGCTTTCTATGGATGGATTTTTACAAATGCCTCTTACTTTTAAACTGGACTGGTCTCTTTTTTTCCTTCTTCCTCTATACTTTTTCCATTTTTTGTATTCATGGATTAAAAGCTTCTTCTCTCATAAGCCTTGGACAGAGCATAATTTTTAAACATTTTGTTTCCTCTTCCGGAGCTTGGAGTTTACAGAGAGAGGCAAAAACAGATGGAAAGAGGTAACACTGCCATCTAGTGGCTAGAGGCTTGTCAATATCTGATATCAC